CAAGATTACTTTTCTGATCCAAATATCCCTTCGTGATTACTACTGGCAGGTCCCACGTAACACCAACATTTTAACAAGATGTAAAGCGGTTTCCAAGTTTCACTCTGGTTAGCGTCAGGTCACCGTGCAGAAAGCACAACCCTCTTAACATCTGCCAGCTTCCGGATTTGTGACCCCTGACCTCCAACCTCTGACTAATCAGACTAATGAGGTAGAAACAAGACTCTGGCTGCCATCTGATGGTATTTGAAATGTTCAAGTGTGGCTCTAACCTTTAACCCTGGTTCTCAAAATACACTCACAAACACACACCGTGTCACAGAAGAAGAACTCAACATTTCGACACTGAGCTATTGCCTCTTGCTTGCACAGATATGGATTTTGAAGACTGATCACCCTTATTTAATTACTTTTTCTATAGGAAACAGCCTGTTAGGTTTGCTTTGCATTAATACCATGTCTGTAAACTACACCATGTGATGGTGACTTAGAGGAGTAACTTCTTAAAGCCAGTTAACTTAGCAGAGCATAAATCTAGCTTGAAAAGCTAACCTGGTTCTATCTGATTTACCAAAAAATAAAAACAATTAGCACCTCTGAAGGTCATTTCATACAAAAGTAAGCCATCTACAGAGAATTCAGGAAGCTACTCTTCCCAGCAAATAGTCCCAAATATAACGCCCTCATAAAACACTAAGCAGTACGCTAAGCCTGTTTAGCTGGCTGCCAGCAGCAGAGTTCAGCCGGTGTTAAGCTTCTGCAACACCTTTGCAAAGAGGGTATTCTGGGTCGCAGAGGGGCCGACCTCACAAATCTCAGCACCACTCGATCCAATATCCTGTTGGAAAGTTTCCTCTCCTTTTCGGTTTCAGAGCGCGGACAATTTGAGCAGAGTGCAGGAAATAAAATCGTTTTTAATTTAACATTATTGGGCATCTTATTATCGACCCGTCCGCATTTGATGAAATCCAAATTCTCTCGCATTTATTGCACACGCTCAGCGATTCGCTCGTCGTGTCCACAAAGCAATACGTGAACTTGCCTTTTATCACAGTTCTACCTGCAAATATCTTCTGTAAAGCCCAGCTACAACCCCGCTTACAAACCCTGCACTCTGCTTGCCACGGCACAGGTTGAAATGTTTATAAAAATTTCGTCGGAGAGGTGGAAAATGCTATCTCACACTGCTCTTCATAATCTCCCTTAAGTGTTCAACTGATAAAGAACCTTTTTCCACAGCTCCGTCCAACCTGAAGTCATTATTCACATTCAAACATGCTCTAGCCAATCCTGGCAGTGAATTCATATCACTAGCCAATCCTGGCAAAATACCAGTATGACCTAAGTCTGCTAAGCATTACAGCTAATACCTCCTACAGTCTGTGCGTTCGTGTGTGTGTGTGCGCTTGTCTTACTCTCACTTTCACCCAGTCTCTCAGACCTACATCAGGGACTTCACTCTGGCATCAAACCAACGGAGCGAGTCCTTACGCTTTGTGTAAATGCGTGCATGTGTGCACACTTGTGTACATTTCGGTTTCCTGCTTGTGTTTTATAGACTGCCTGACAGTTTTTTACCTTATCCATCAACTCTGCATGAACGACAGAAAGAGCACAGAAAGGGAGAGGAAGGAAAAACATCCTGACTTTCTGACTCCTCCTGCGGGATGTGTAATATCTCTCATAAAATGACAAAAAATGAGTGCAAGGATCTGTGTTTTGCTCAGTGTCTCATGACAGAATATCAAAATTCACCGCTAGCTTATGGCAACATGCAGAGGCATCATCACTCACTTTGAGACGCTCATAAAAAACGAAGTATGTGTGCTTACCTTTACTGGAGATGTAGTGTTTGCTGGGTGTGGTGAAACCTCTGCTGCCGTGGCTGTTGATGGCTGCCACTCTAAACTGGTACCAACGCTGAGGTCTCAGATCTGACAGAATCGCATCTTCAGAGAGTGTCTAAACACACAAACGCATGGCACAATACGCAGGCTAGGTTTTTATATTTTAAGACATACAGGGCAGTGCTTACACCTCACCAGGAAGATATCAGATTGGCTCCAAAATCATTCTGCAGCATAACAACAGACCAAGAAATACATCAAGAGGCATGAGGACTATATGAGTTCTGCAAGAGACGATACGATCCCCACAGAGCTCTGATCCCCAACATCATGGAGTCAGACAGGCAAACATACAGAGGGGATCATTTTCAGAGGAAAAACAGTCAAGGCTAATATTGATTGATCTTTTTCTTTACTCCTAGTGTCTGTGCGAGTTAGAGGAATCATTTAAAACTATTTT